TTTTTACTCACTAAGTAAATATTTCCATCGAACTCGGATCATCCGGGTCTTCGCCGTCCATCGTCCATCCAGGAAAGATGGACGGCACATATTCTAATTTGATCCGATGATGCAAAACAAAGCATAGGGAGGGTCCCAGATCCATAGCTTACATCGTATCGATGTTCTTGAAGTGATGAGATTCAATGCGTCCTTTCGTAACTAGCTTAATCGTGTCTTGCCATGGCTTGGAAGCAATTCCTGGAAAAAAAACTCGACTGTCACGTGGTCGTCAATCTGATGTGGTTCATTCCCCCATAATTTTCAGTACGTCCCGTGACAGAAACGGACTTGTCGAGGAATGTAATGTAGTACCTTCGTGCATGGAGTTCTAGTCGAGGTATGAACTTGATCGACCCCATCTGAACTTCAATTGCTTGATGTACCCATCGGGACCCATCGGGCACAGAGTCGCCAAACGTGTTCTTCTACAAATATGATGTGAGCTTTCTATAGTACCCCCCGTCACGGCTTCCTCCTCCTCATGGACTCGATCAACTATGTAGTGCGGGTTACGATAAACCCTGCGGGCGAGGATCTTGCTGTCACCCTTGAAGACTTGTAATAGCTATCTAGAAACTTGGAGAGCTGGGGAGCTTTCGTGCACTGGACACCTGTTGAATCGCAGCAAAGCATGTCGACTGTTGCGCAATTCCGAATTAGAGAGGAAATGGTCCTCGGGGTTTCGACAGTAGAGTTAGACAGGCGGAAGATAGTCAGCAGTAAATCTGAGGCCGTTTCACCATGTTAATAAATTCACGCTAAATCAGAATTTTAACTGGAGTAGGCAGACCGAGGATCGGGTCCGACATGGTCTGCTATGACGCGTAAAGATTCGGTCGCAAGGTCACATCACATGTCTACGTGTCCCATCGATTAAAACGAAACTAAAAAATTCCCAATAAACAATTTAGGTTCCGACAGGATACATCAAGTAAATATTTCAGTTCTAGTGTGATAGATGGGTAGAACTCATCATCATTGAGGATCATAGTTCATTTGAGGAGGTGGCTGGCGTATCAACTTGGAAATCTGCCAGCGAGAAGGTCATGTCCTTGATAGCAGGCGGAGACTGGTTATCCGAACTCCTGAATTGGCAGTAGCGATTATCATTAATTACTCACTTCTAGTGATAACGTCCTTGAACGGCACTAGATACGACTTCCCGACACGTAGTTGTAGCGAGTTACAGTTCCCTACTCTGTGCAGAAAGTGTTCTGACCTGAGTAGCTTCTGGCTACGTTTGTATCATGCCTTTAAGACTTGCACCTTCACCTCGTACGACATGAAATCGGATATATTGATGTTTTGACTCACGACCTGTTTGTATGTGAAACAACTAATTTCATTCTACAAAGATCATTTCTTTTTTCTATATCGATTTTTGCACATTCTTCATCTCAGTTTTATAAATCCAAAGTTGAAGTAAAACAAAAGTAACCTGACTGAAATATAGAATAAAAAATGAAAAATGCTCCATTGCATGCAATTGAGCATATCTGAAATATATAAAGGAATAAGTTAGTAAGAGATATCCAAATTACTATCATGCAAAACTTTCACCAACTTGTGGCTTGTAAAACATTATGTAGCAGAAAGTGGCAGATCCAACATCTGCTCTACTGGTTATAATCACGCAGGACCTAGAATCGCGCTCCGTAATTGTGTTATATGGTGATAAGACCATCAACTAAAACAAGCACTGGTTTGTAGGTACAGGTACGAGCCGCCGGTCACGTCGAAGTGTGAGACCCAGCACAAGTCCTGCTTGCATCTCATCATCAGAAAATGACTGGGCCCACCGGTAAAAGCAGTCGGAATTTCTTTGGCTTCATATGACGTAACGACACGGATATCTTGTGCAAGTTCATAAAGAGGAAAAAAAACTTCAAAACTTCAGCTTCTGATACTCGTACTTGATAATTTCTCGGCTCGAATTCAGCACTCGGATTTGGAAGCATTTACAGCTCACAAACACAAGCAGCTTTTCTTCATCTTCTTCATATTTAATTTTTTTTACTGGAATCTGGCTAAAATTGATTATCTCAGATGAACGATTTATTAAACTTGATATTTTACTAATCAATATATAACATATTGATCTGTATTACTGTAATGATTTATTTTCTCTAATTATCTATATATTTAAAGTATTTTCTGTATATAATCAAGTTTAGCATTTAGAGCTAAAAATATATAAAACATATGATGGACCGAGGGAATAAGTGATAGAAAAAGAATAATACAGTATGATTAGAGAGTATAAGTCAATAAGTGGTAGAACCATGTCTATACACAGTACGTACAACAGTATATGTACCTGCTCAGCGTGCGACGAGTGATATCATTTGTTTGGACCAGGACAAAGTGAAGGGGACGTGTCTTCCGGTACCTGAATGAAGTCTTTCCAAGACAGCCATATACTGTATAAATCTTCCTCTTTTACCTAACCCTGCTTCAGTGAAAATTTGATTTGGCAGAAGGATGTATATTACTTTTTTATCTATTCACTAGAAATCCTAAAACACTGAAAAAAAAATAATGATAGAATTTCATTGATGACAGAGGTTAATGTTACAAAGTATTGTATGCTGATGGAAAAATATTCAATGTTTTGTAAATCACTGAACTCTCCTTGTTCACTTGCAAGTACCAGATTTGACGTCTGTTCCTCAATACACTAGAGCATGCATGCGAAGTATACAAACAATAACAATCGAAGAATGAATTGTTCTCTGCATATTAATTCAAGATATGGAATTTTTTTAAAGCTAACGTGAATGAAACAAAAAGACATGATGTTAAGCCGGTAGATTAAAGATTTTCTTATATGTTATGAAATAAAGAGGAAAATGAACTCTAAATTTGTCAAAAAAGTATTTCAATCCACCAAGATTTTTTTCAATTTTTAGAAATTATCAGAACGTTTTGAAACTATTGATGTGACAACTACTTATTAACAAATATTGAAATTTGATAAAAAATCTCTACAATTACAACATAATAAAATCATAACTATCCATTTTTTATTGAAAAATTTCAAAGGATGATATAAAAGATATAGCTCTTAAGTTTCACGAATTTTTATCATGGTAGGGTGAAACATAATGATTTTTCATCAAAACGTAGTTTTAATCATTTGATCAATTTCATGATACTTTAACTAGATACATTATTGATGAATATCTGTAATGAATGCAAACAATGCATGACAGAAATCATCAGGTAAATAATATATTCAAATTCAATTTTTTCTTGATCAAGCATATGTTAATCTATGCATATTGCATTATATAGATTCCAATAATCTCTTCCTCTAACTTTTTTGATAGTGATCAATAAGCAATTTTATCATCAAAAATTTTGTACTAGAAATTTTTCTATGAAATTTTTGCCTGATCAGTTGTGCTGACTAAATGCATGATTTGATATATATCATATAGGGGAAATTGAAGGTCACTCGTGGCAAACATTAAGATCTCAATCTTATTTGGCTAGGTTGAAACTTACGTTTAAGTTTTAAAAGTATTTTGCTATTTAAGTATTTTTAAATTTGCGTTCATTGATTTCACAAAAGTTAGATCATTGTGACAAATGAAGGTATATTAGCTGTTCCAACTTTTAATATCAAGTACTGAATTAGGAATCACTCTTGTTTCAGATGTCAGATTCAAATTTCACCTCATGCCATACACAATTATTACTGATCATAATAATCATTACACTTTTCACCTAGAGCTGCTTTAAAATAAATACTCTCGACATGACTATGAGTATATCTAACAATGCCGGATAAAAATCGGTAAATTACAGGATGTCACTCTAGTGTGGTAAGCTCGATGTCTACAATTGTCTATTTAGTAATTTGGTGAGAGTGAAATTATTGTGAAGATTGTTGTGGTGGGTACTATAAGCGGATTTCCGATGGCGATTACACTTGACCCGTGATTACATCGAAGCTGGATGTAACCCATATGGGTTGGATGATCCAACCCATAAATAATATGCAATGCACTAACTAACTCGGTCTCCCGTGGAGCTAGTCTATTGCTCCAGGGAAGGGGCTCAGGAGATCCAATGGCTGTTTGTCAGGACGATCTGCTGCACTGTGACTGAGACGAGGCCCAGGCTCCCACGGGAGGCTGCAGTGGAGAATATTGGCTTCGATCGTTTCCTCGTAAAGCCTAGAAAGATCATAGATCCTGAAGGGTTGGCCCCTGTTCAATTAGCTGTTGTTCAGCTGGTATCTGTGTAGACTGCCCCACAACTCTCGACGGACTGTTCACAAACATGGTAGTATGGCCGTGGGTTCCTGAGATTCAAGAGCAGTTGGCAGTTATGGACCTACATCATGAAAAGCTCATGTCTTGAGTCCTTCAGAGCGATACAATGACCTGGTGCATTTTGTTTCAAGCTCCTGACAAACACTGCCCCACTTGTGCCCACCCATGGAAAAACAATGTCACCCAAAACCCATGGGGTATAGGCACCCAATGTTGGGCTCTGGTAACCTGTGTGACCTGCAGATTTTATTGATCAGGCCTCCAGATCCCCACTTACCATATGTCATGGTGAATGTCAGGACTGGACTATCAATCAACACATAATGAGCACAGCAAAGTAGCACACAAAAGAGGCCAAAGAGCCTGCTTGCGAGGAATCGATGGAGGGGGTTTTTCCAACCGAAATCCCTCTTCCGATGGACACAAACGTTGACTTACTGTAGGAGCGAGACTTTGGGAAAATGAAGTTCGCTCCGGAAGCAACCACGGCTGGACGGAACGTGGTCAGGGCCCTCCTGCTCAACCGGTGCGAGGTTTCCTCCACGGGCAAGATGAGAGGAGAATCTTTCGTTGTGTGAACGTGGTGAGAAGGACTCGATTCACGGGCTTCGGGTCTACAGCAGCGAGTGATGCGATGCGTGATCTGACATATAATGAAGATTCTATTCTCTCTTCCGGCGGGTTTTGGAGATGTTGCTTGGTGGGTGTGGCTGTGCTTTTTCTCGCCTTGCTCCGTCTCCTCTGTAAGAAAAAAATTGTGCTGACTTCAATTTCCCCCTTCGACCACCTTCGTCGATCGTGACTCCATCTTGTACATACTTCCTACTTTTCTATTCCTCCTCTCGATCGCTCATCGGTTTTGCTTGACACAGTAGGGTAGATTGTGATTCTAGAGTAGCAGTTAGACGACAGGCTATTGATCTTGGATAAAAAGTAGCGGATCGGCAAAATCAATGGAGACATACGTCATTAAGGTCAGTAATCAGAGTTCTCATCTTCTCATCCTCTCGATGCATCTTCGAGATCTGTCGCATTTGTCACTCTCGAGAAGACGTTAGAGAGATTTTGTCCTGATTTCTGGATAAGTACCTTTTGAACCCAATCTCGTATAAATCGATTCATGGCTCATCCGCTGGGATACTTTAACAACAATTCTTTAGTGGGACTGATCATGCCTAAATGATCGAAGACTGGCGTCAATCCCAGCTCCACGGCCTCTGGTTATGTCCAATTCACCTTCACATAGCTGGGAGGATATTCTAGCAATTCTCTTACGCTTACATAAGACTCCAGCGTAAGACAGTCGTCGTGAAGGAATGCAGTGAAAGATTGTCAGCATGGCCCCCCGTCGACTGATTTGGCCTTCGATGACAGGTGATATACGAGGATGCTACGTGCAGGATCAACTACTCCAGCAAAGCAGGCGGCGAAGAGTTGTCTCTCGAGGACCTGCAAACGAAGATCAGAAAAAAACTGGACCTGCCTTCTACCGGCGAGATGAAGATCAATTACAAGGACGAAGACAACGACTTCGTAGCGATGAAGGACAACGAGGACTTGATAGATGCGCTCGTCACACAACGTCTCAGACCTTTGGTCTTGAAGGTGACCTTTCTGGATCGCATTCCGACTCCAGAACCACCTCCTGACGACACGCCGCCCGTCCCTGCTCCCGTGGATGCCATTTCGACTCCAAAGCCACCTCCTGACGACAAGCCGCCCGTCCCTGCTCCCGTGGATGCCATTCCGACTCCAAAGCCACCTCCTGACGACAAGCCGCCCGTCCCTGCTCCCGTGGATGCCATTTCGACTCCAAAGCCACCTCCTGACGACACGCCATCCGTCCCTGCTCCCGTGAGCGACCGAGGTCTCGATGTAAAGCCGGAAGTCATTGTGGCTCCCCCCGTTGCCAATTACAGGTGTTACAATTGTAAGAAATATCCAATCGTCGGGCCTTGGTATTCATCGATGGTAAGGTGAGTGAGTCCCCAGGCATCAATCTCGTTGAAACTTCCTTCTGCAGATCGGAGGTGGACAACAAACAACCATTCTCGTAGATCTGACGCCCGAGCACGTCGTCTTCAGGTCCACGATCCCGCTGTCCAAGTTGTTGTCGTACCATTTGTGCGAGGATTGCTACGTGAAGTCGGACTGGAGTCGTTCGAGTAGTGTGAAATTCAGGCCCATCGAGGAATGCGCCCAATGTCACCAGCACAAGCCAGACGTGATGAGCTATCCGTTGCACGGCAATGATGAGGCCAGCGAGCACATCAAAATGTGCGACTGGTGCTTCAAAGCTATAGTTCACAGAGCGGTGGACAGCGAGAACAGATCGATGTCGCTGGGTTCTCAAAGGCGTTCGCTCGACGACGGTCCACTCGAAATGTCTCACCTGCTTCCACCGACCTCAGGGTAGGTAAGAATCCGCTGAGCCCTCAGTGCGTTGGTTGCAGATTTTGGCCTTTTCTAATTCGGTGCACCGATTAGCTTTGATGACTTTCATCGTACATCGATGATGCCATTCATTCTGGTTCTACGTATGATGCTTGATTCAGCTTGTCAAAAAGATTTCTGCGCTTCTGGTGTCTCGATTTTTTCTGAGTCCGACAGTTGCTTATGCAAGTCTATCATCGGAAGTGCTGGATTAGAGAGGGATAACGGACACATTATAGAGTCGGTTGTTAGAAATACTGATTTGGAACTAGGGGGTAAGGAGAGAGTCTGCTTTCTCCGCTCGGAAGCAGACTCGGAGCATAATGGAGGAAATGCGATGCTTGTGACTTGTTTAGTAGCAATCGGAGAAACATCAGACGAAATTATCAGTTTCTAGAACGTCCTGCAAAACCTTCAGACGGAAAGTGCACTTGAACAGATTCGAGATGTCCCCTGTATAGTTTGGCTGATCGGCACGTGCAGCAGGGAGTTCAGCTGATGACAGTGAGACATGTACAAAATTGTGTTGAATTACAGTCCCTTCTGTACGAATGTAAATTGTAGCGGTTGAAATTATGAAAACAGGCTCTCAATCCTCTTCGTTCTCGACTATGATTTCGTTCTCGAGTATTATTTCATAATCCGACCGTGGGAAATACCGAGAAATTTCACATGGCGTTACAAGTACAAGCTTTGACTACAATCGCAGCATCGGCTCTTCGATTCTGATGCTCACCCTGAAACCTTTAGCGAGAGAGTTCATGGAACCTTGGAATGTTGATCATGATTGACGTTGCATCCAAAGCGACGAGGTCCAATGTTGCCGATGGGTTCTCAGAAGCTAAGGTCCGACCACGAGGGTGCAGCCCGAGCTTCGTGTGCATCAATTAATACGGTCGATATGGGCGGAAGAGTTTTCTGAGTCGTACAAATCTAGTAGTCTTGCCTCGATTTTCCTTACCTTACCATTTTGCCAGTCGGATGGACGACGATTGATTGCTTCGAGGAGATAGATGTTAGATGAGGCGAGAGTTTTGCTGTCTTGCTCTGTGAGCTGATCTAATTTGTACTCTCTTGTGGCGAGTCTATTCCATGTCGGATTTGCCCCCTGTGTCTTCGATTTCTCTGATGGCGATGAGCTTCTTCTCTAGTCGCACGAGGCGACTCATTTCAGCTCCTAGATTCCTCTCGAGCCTCTCACGTCGTTTAACGCCGTCGTTCAGCTTCTTCTGCGATTCTTCGCGCTTTCTAACTGCCACGGACAGTTCCTTCTCGAGTGACAGGCGTTTGTACATGGTCTCGCCCAATCTGTTTTCGATGTCTTCACGAAAACCCTCAGATCGGGCTCCTTTGTTGAAGACGGAGCTTCTGCCTTCTGCGGCAGCATCGAGTTTATAGCTGTTTTCCAGCGTTCGAAGAGTCATGCTGTCATGCAAGAGGGCACTAATTTGCCTCAGGGCTTGTAGATCCTCCTCCTGGATGTCTTCGACCCGCCGCATGGGGGGCGTAGTGTGAGTCTCGAACTCCTCGCGCCTCATCACCGTGTCGCTCATCTCTTTGTCGAAGTTCGAGAGCGACATCCGGTCGCACACTATGGCGCTCAGAGTTTCTTCCAATCTTTCTCGCTCGTCCATGACGAAGCGGAGCTTCTCTTCGATGTGATCTAGTTTGTACATCTCCTCGGCGAGCATGCCTTCGAGGCTTTCCATCTGTGGAGGATGGTGTTCGATCACATTGGTAGAGTTAGCCAGAGTCAGCTCGACCACAGAGCAATTTCAATCAAATCTCAACAAGAGTGTTTCGAGTCTCAGATCTCTGGCTAAGAAAAAATGAATTGCTGCACGATGTTTGAATTAGTCTTTTCAGCTCTCGAGATTCTGTACTAGTTGGGGATAGGTCGAGCGTGAGCCACTGACATTACTTGCAGGCTTTCTTCTGCGTAAGATGATCACTGAGCTCCGCCAGAAAGGGAAATCTGATTCACTTGGAAGGTGGTGAAATCTTCTCGACTGTGACCGGCTGAGCCAAGGACACAAGCAAAATGTCTCACCTCATCACTTCAAAACCTCGAGAGTTGAAATATTAATTTATCGAGCGCGAATTATAATTGCAAACCAAAGAACCGCATCGACCTCGATTTTCAAAGACTAACAAAAGCAATCAAGAACGATCAGAGCTTTGAAATGGGGATCAAACCCAGCATGTGCGACTCGATGCCAAGCCTATGATCGACTGTCACTAATTAATGCCTGTCTGAAGGATACCCATAGATATGAATGAGTGAACCCATTTCTGCAGCTGCTGCTGCTGCTCATAAACAGAGCAGGAAAGAGAATTACCCGGGGAGCAAGCTGGACCTCGGTGTGAAGTTCAGAAAGCAGGTGATTAAGGCAGGTTTCAAGATCCAGTAACTAGAGAGAAGGCCTATCCGCTCCGATAAGAGGTTCAGCGACAATATGTTCGTTCAGACATCCAGCCTCAGCCCAGAAGTCCTTAATTGAAGCATTATTTGTCAAGAGCCATTCTTCGGAGCAGATCTTCTTTACATCCACCTTGAAATCCAAAGCGTTTCAACTTCGAAGACATCAAAACTCCAAGACGGGCGTTGCATTGGCCCGCATGCGTTTCTGTTTGCTTGCCTCCTTCGGTACTCTAGAGTCATGGCTGTTCATCTTCCCAGCCTCCAAGCCTCCCGGTTACAGGAGCAGATGGCTCTCCGACTGCCCACAGTCCTCTGTAAATTGACTGCTGACGTTTTCAGTTACCTTCTCACCACTTCCAAGAAATGTCCCTCTTTCCAAATTTACCATACCTCAAAGATTGTGAACTAGGAGCCAGATTTTTGTCGGCGTAAACTCTTTCTACTCCGTTGCTGCCACTGGGGCTCGCATCGAACAATAGAAGCATCCGAACGGGCGATCAGAGAACTTACGCTGAGATTCACGTGAGTGGGAGAATTCGTGGAATTTTGGTCGATTTCTAATGACGAGGAGAAAGTCTTGATGGACCAATTTCCTAAGAGCCCGCTTGAAAGTTTCATCGTCGAGTGTGAGCTTGAAGGTCCTCGGAATATTGACGAATCCCAGGAACTTTGTCTATGTTCATTCATGCACGCCCGAAACTCTCAGAGGTCGTGTAGTTTCACACGGTTGGCTAGAAGATGCTGACGTTCTGTCAGAACGACCTTGATCTCGGATAACGTAATATGGCGGAAAAACAGGGCCGAGTGACTCACTCGGGTCACGGAAGAGCTTCATATTTTACATTAAACTAGTATAGAGAAGGTCCGATTCTGCCTATTCTGAGAAATCCCTAGCTCGCCAGTCCTCGCCTTTTCTGGCAACCGAGGATTGCCGATGGAAGTATGACCTGTAGTAATCCCGGGGGATCTATCTATCCTTTGCGCTCAGATCTACACTTCCGGGCCTAGGACGACACGGTTTCATAGTCGAGAAGTTCAGCTCTTGGGTGAATTCCAGTTGTATAGGGCATTCGCGTAACGAGGAAGATTGATTGATCGTCACGAAGCACGGGGCGTATTGAAGAAGTGACAGGTCGCATGTTGCGTAGGGCAGGACGTGGTGGCCAGGGGGAGTTTGAGTCCATGGAAGGAAGGTTCTGAGAGTGATGAGTGGCAGAAGGTATATCGTCTGGATTGGTTGCTGCGCGACAAAACCAGGCTGACTGATCGCAGTGCTTTATCCCCGAGTTCTCGGAAGCTGCGAAAGATGGGTCAGATGCCCGTGAGCCTTCGGGTTCAACTAAAATGCAGGGCACCCACCGATTTGGCAGCAACGAAAACCTCGGCGGTTTAGTCGGGATCGAAAGACACACGCATACAGAGTAGTCGAGGTGGAAACTGCACGAGGTGCACGAGCTAGCCGCCATCCCCCGGAGCTAGCGTAGGGTTTGTTCTTTCTCTGCCGGGATCTGGGATGATTTAAAGAGCGCAGATGATCGATTGCTCGAGGGTCGCTGGAGAAGAATTCATCAGGTGCCACCTTTAGGTTCGTAATTTACAGCAACGCGCAGGTAGAGCTCGCGAAGGGGATTCAGATGATGCTGTTCCTGTGAAGATCTGGAGTCCGGAGTTTTTTCCGTGAACAGGGGGGAAGATTCATTAGGGTTAACTCTGCCTCTCGCTTCGAGAGCGTGATAATCTATGGAAGGAACGGAGACTGATAATGTTCCAACTCAGGACAAGGAATGTGGTTCTTCAGTCGCCGAGAATGCCACAGCAAACGAGGAGCTCTGCAACGAGTCCCTCCTATCCGATCGTTCTGTAGATTCTGCGAGCAGCTTCGGAGCTGAAGATGGAAGCTGCCTTCCGCCATTGCAATTAGATGATTTGCCGGAGGCAGTGATTTTGAACAATGTTCTGGGCAGGTTGACGATTCGCAGTATTCTTCGTCTGGGTTGCACGTCGAGAAGATGGAAATCCATCGTGGAGATGCTGGAGATTCCAACTCTAGCACCGTGGTGCATCGTCACCCCGATAGCCACCTGCGACGAGGATCTGGACCCCAGCCCAGGGTTCCCGCTCGTGTACGACATCAATGAGAAGGCGTGGTTCGAGTGGGCGCTCACCTCGACCTTCGTCTCGTCTTCCAATGGCTACGTCCTGCTGGAGGAAGACAAGGAGTTCGTCATGAAGAATCCGTTCAAAAACTCATACGTCCGTCGTGTGCCCAAGGCCAATGCTTCGCCCGACGAGTACGATCGATGCGGAACACTGTCCACGCTTCTGGTGGAGAAGGACGACGCCATTCATGCTCCCAAGTTCAAAATCATCGAGCAGAGAAAAGCCTGGGTCAACAACTGGTGCGTGATGGAAATCTCGGAGGCGTCGCAATTCTCCGTCTACGACTCTGCGACCGATGTCTGGGACACCGAGCGAGAGTTCAAGCCCCGCTTGTGCTTGCGCGCAGGACGCCCTGTCAAGCTGAAGGGATCTCTGTATTATCTGACGAAAGTGCGTGCATCCAATTTGGCCGAGCTTCAGAAGGACGAGTTTCTCTATCGCCTGGTGGCTTGCAGCTTGAGGTCGGCGAGGAACCACAACATCCTGTCCAGATTCCCAGGGCGCTTTCAGTTCGTCTTCCTGTTCGAGTACCAGAGCAGGTGGATGCTCTTCGGTGCAATCTGGAACTCGCAGTCGAAAGACGGAGAGAGGTCGCTGCGGACGTGCGTGTGGCAGCTGGAGGAGAAGAACATGGCGTGGGTCGAGGTGCAGAAGCTGCCGAGGAAAGTGTTTTTGGAATTCTGCAAGAAGACGGACCCATGGGAGCACGCCACCGACAACGACAGGTTCTCCGACAACACGCGCTGCGCCACGAGTGGAGATTACCTGTGCGTATTCGACAATTCGACCACCTCCAGAATGCTCATCTGCAACCTCAAGAGAAAATCCTGGTCCGTGGTGCAGATGCACGAAGCGATTCTGAACAGATACGGAGGGCTCGAGCTGCACATGTTTGATCCCTGGTTACACGTTCCACTGAACGACATCATCTGCCACAGAAAGAATCCTTCGGTCGTGTTTCCCTTTCTGTCTCCAGGGGACCCTGGCCGTGATGCATGCATCCGGCGACCAGTCGGTGAAGACTGGCTGATTCTGTTTTAGCCATCGCCATAGTCTCGCAGTGGTCCTTGAGGCCGGGCCCGACTGGAGGATTCTGCTTTCCATGCCTGTAATATTGCACCCTGTCTGTCCACGGGCGAAATTCTACACAAGCTCCAGCAAATTGTTGAGGTACAGATTTCAGGACTAGTCGACCGACTTTTCTCATGAATGCAGTTGGTGTGATGGTGGATGGTAGACATGAGAATTCGTCCTTCATAGCTATGCCTACTGACCGTGGGACGGAGAGAGAAGGTATCTCTGCACTGAACCTGCGGTGGGCTACTAGTCCTGTTGTACCATATTCGTGACCTCACAGCAGTTGTTCCAGTGGGTGATTTTTCCCTGTGGAGGGCATCGGGCGAGTACATGGCCCTGCAGCAGCGAGTAGTCAAGTTGCTGTACATTGTACGTGACCGGGATGCTCAATGTCGTTGCTGCACACAATTGAAGAACCCAGCCTTTGTCAGTCAGAGCTGGAAGAAGATGCACAGAGCGGCTACCGGAGAAGGTGCTTCATTGGATCTAATTGGCAAGCAAGGTGATGGTGGATCTCTTCACGCTGATAGCAGACAGGATTGTGCTTTTCCACAAGCCTGTTGGATGGGTCCAGCACCTCAGTTTTGGCTAGAACTTTTTCTGGACCAGGTTTTCAAAATTATGTACAGAGTGTTTATTTTGATCGATTTTTTTGGCCTTCTGGCGTACTCAATATTATTCAGGTGACATACGTACCTGCTCGTGTAACGAATGCTGCTGGAGAAGGCTTTTAATGATTATCAAATCGGATGTTTGGCAGGATGTGATATTGATATGCCATCCGGCCAGCTTGGATTATGCCATCTTAGGAAGTAAGCTTAGAATCAATTAAGCCCTTGGGGTATTTGTGGTCTCTTTTCCAGCTAGAAGGAATTGAGGTTTTTACCATTATGCAGTCTGTACCAAGATCAGTCTGTACGCAGATAATGACAATCGGTGTGTATGGTGTGTTCCGGGAATGGAACTTCATGTTGGTTCACAAATAGGCTATGCCTCTGGAAAATTTCTATACTCACATTAGAGTACACGAACCTGATCCTCCCACGTATTTTGTCTGCAATTGAAGGAAATTAGGAACACTTATGGAGAGCTTCTGCTTGTTGAGCTCAACAGTCCTCGGCCTAACATCGCGCGGCTGCTCAGCAAAACCTCCTCTCCATGCCATAGTTTGGTAGAGTGGATGAGGCCGGAAGCGCTGTACCTCAGACTAGTATGACTGATGCATTCCTAACGCTCAGTCGCTCAGTCAGCTTAAAAGCAGTAGACTCTTTGTCGTCGATGTCCCTTTGGTGAAACCCGTAAGAGTCATCGCTGATCTGTAAGAATACCGGCTCGGTTGGTGACACTTTCCAATTAAATGAAACTTTGGGCTCCAGCCCAACCGATTGAAGGAGGCCGGACGCATGTAGAATATTCCTCAATTAAGCATAAGTTTGTCCCAGTGGCCCCGTGCTGGAAGTGTACAGCGATAAGCCAAAATCTCGTGAGAAGTTGGCAGTACGGAAGGCAAAGAGCGGGAACAAGGACCTTTGCCTGTTGAGGGAGTGAAAGTTCTTGGGACATCTGAACTCTGAGACGACCAAATGTCGTCTATTTCGTAGTCGTTGAAGCCATACTCCGATCAGGCAGAAGATAGTAGAGAAGAAAACCGAGGCCCTACATCCCTCCTGTCCGTGGCTCTTCAGCGAGACGAGATTTAAATTTATATCATTGGCTTTTCCTCGTCCGTTTTCTGGCAATTTTCCACCTCAAACTTGCGCTTGGGATTTCTCTATTCGCTCTTTCTTTACGTCTGTATGATGAGAATGATTTATCACATTCAATATTATAGAGTAGAGTATTTTGCAAGTTATACCTTATTCACAAAACTCTCTCTGCTACACAACGAAATTCGCTTTCTTTACCACTTTGTAGATGTGCAGTGAACACTGATGGAGAAGATCTCCAGCTGCCACAAACGGACCAATAAATATCACGCACATCATCCTTTGAAGTCTGTACCGACTTTTATTGGCCCCAAACGCCAGTAAACTTCTCATTGAAGGTATTTCATGTGTACCTGGGCGGTAAGGTAAGTATTGGGGCTCCATAGTCTGTAGGCGTTGTAAATTATCACCAGTCAACACCATCCACTAGAAATCAGTTGCAAAGAGTTTCGGCCCTTTGCCATTGCCATTGCTACTCATACCCAGAGCATGAATTCAGGCTGACCCGTCATCCCCCTTTTAATACGCGAAAGGGAATCACAACAAGATACATTCCCGAATCCACTGACGTAGTTCAAACCGTAAATTCGCGCGTTGCTCTTACATTCTAAAATTATGCTCATGAGCGTCTTCTGCCTTCTGCATTGTGCCTGATGGTTTTCAAATGCCTTGTACTCCACGACAGGCGCTTTCCCGGCGTGGACTACAAGGCTTGCGCTCTTCGGTCTCTCTTTCCATTCAATCTGCTTCACTGTTGCACAGACCTATAGTTTAGCTAGACCTCGAGCGAGGGAAACGGGAAAGGTGCATTGATGGCGACGGAGCAATAAGTTCGACAGTAGTCTTTCAGTCCGAATTATTCAAAGCTGATGGCTTGTCCCGTATATTCCAGTGAAACATGCTTCCCTTGACTCCTGACCAGTGCCAGACCGTAGACGCTGATTACATTACGCCAACAGCAGAAAAGGACTGCGCTGTGTATGGGTCGGACTTTCCGGTGACGAGGACGAAACAGCCCGAGGCGAATTGTAACGAAGCAAACACGTACACAAAAGTGCAAACGAAAGCAGAAGAGTCGTAGCAATGACTGCGAGATGAAAGCTCAGGGCCTCGAGATCCCGATACGTCCCGGTCGATCTAACAAACACCAAATGTCAATAATGGAGGTGGGTTTGAGGCTTGATTTATGACTCGAATCACTGCAATAATATCACCCGAGGCAATTGCTCCAGTCCCGCAACCCAGTGAATGAAGGAGGACTGCTGGTGTCGACAACCGTCGCTCCGGGGCCCGCCTCTTTTCGTCTGAACTCAAAGCTCTCGACGGGGCTGCAGTTCTCCTACTGCGGGAGGCGACGGCCGTCGGACGGCAGGCACGGGCTCGTTGGGTTCATGAGACATGACTTACCTCAGCCTCCCGTCAGCCGAAAACAAAGAGACATTCTCCGAATAGCCGACGATGGCTCAGAGCGCAGGCACGCACGCACGCAGCCTTTCACTCTCGTGCCTCGATCTCTCTCCTTCGACGAGCTGTTCGAATTTGAGCCTTCTCGACTTGCAGAGCGATCTGAAATGAAGATCACAATCGTCGATTCAATGTCGGAATATTTTCCGAAAGTGAGAGAGGGAGCGAGAATGTGCCTCCAGTAGAGAGCCGGGGACGATCTGATCTGGGTTCCGAAGGTGTGGATGTCCGATCCGATGTGTACCGTATTGTCCACGATGAGACCTTTGATGTGCTGCAGGCAATGTCCGCAGCAGACTCGTGAGCGTCAGAAAGTACGATCCTGAGGCATCATCACGGGGCCGTGAGCGAATTCGAGCGAGCGCTCACGATGATGATCACGCGGTGGGTCTCCGTCCGATCACGGCTCGGTGAGAATCGAGGAATGGCTTAAGGGCGGGATGCAAGTGGGGGGTCGATGTGTCGGGCACAATCCTCGTGCGATCGACGTGGGGGGCAATGTCAATGTCCGGGAATCTGTATAAATGATCTAGCCTCGACTGCTAGGGGCCGCGCCATTCGGTCGATTGCTGCTAGGAGCGAGCGAGGGGGATGTCTGTGGCCGATCGGTCGGAGTTGAAGATTTTCAATGAGTCTCAACTCCAAACCGCTCATCATCGATGGGATCGTTGGGAATGGTCGAATGCTGGCGGCGCTGGGATCCAGCGGCGAGCTCCATCGACTCTGGTGGCCGCAGATCGCGTGCCCGCAGCACGTCAACGAATTCGTGTTCGGGATCTTCGTCGAGAACTGGTCCGATGACGTCGCCTGGCTGAACGGCGACTCGTGGACGCACCGGCAGTACTACCTCGAGGACACGAACTGCCTCGTGACCTCGAGCACCTGCGAGAATTTGCCCGTGGCCGTCGAGGTGACGGACTTCTGCCTGCCCGACAGCGACACTCTCGTGCGGATCGTCGACGTGACCTCCAGCCACGAGGCCATGGTCGACGTGAAGCTGTTCGCGGCTGCGAGCTTCGCCATCTGCGAGAGCGCGCGTTACAACGCCGTGCAGTTCGACAAGGAGCACGACGCCATGGTCTTCTACCGCCACCGGCACGCCTTCGCCATCGGCAGCGAGCGCGAGTGCTCGTGGTACGAGGCCGGCAAGCGGCGCGACGCGCTCACCACCCGGCCTGCGCCGCGCGCCCGGGGGCCCGCGCCGCTAGCCGACGGGCACGAGACCCCGAGCTCGCACTCCGTGCACCTGAACGGGACCGCCGTGGCCATGGGCATGCACGGCGCGCTGAGCTGGAACTTCGTCCTCTCGTCGGAGGAGTCCCTGAGCGTGCCGATCTTCGTCAGCGCCGGCGATAGCCCGGAAACCGCGATCGCCACGCACAAGGCCTCGAAGTCGCGCGGCGCAGCGCGCCTGCTCGACGCCACCATCCTCTACTGGCATCGCTTCGTGCAGTCGGGCCGGCGGCTGCACACGACGGACGAGAGCGTCAGGCGCCTGTTCAAGCGCTCGGCGCTGGCCATCAAGCTGATGTGCGACAAGACGGGCGCCGTGGTCGCGGCGCCGGAGTTCGACGAGGATTACACTCGGTGCGGCGGGTACTCGTTCTGCTGGGGTCGCGACGCGGCCTACATCGCCACGGCCCTCGACCAGGCCGGCTTCCACGACCTGGTGACGCACTTCTACGACTGGACGCTGAAGGCGCAGAGCCCCGACGGGTCGTGGGCGCAGCGCCACTTCATGGACGCGCGCCTGGCGCCCCAGTGGGGGCTGCAGGTGGACGAGACCGGCTCCATCGTCTGGGGCATGTGGCAGCACCACGAGGCTCTCGTCGCGGCGCAGAGGCCCGACAAGGCTCGCGAGTTCGCGACCAAAGTGTGGCCCGCCGTCAAGCGAGCGGCGGACTTCCTGACGATATCCGTCGACCCCGACACCAAGCTCCCGCTGGCGTCCAGGGATCTGTGGGAGGAGCGACTCGGCGAGCACGTGTACTCGGCCGGCGCGGTGTGCGCGGGGCTGAAGTGCGCTTGCGACTTGGCGCAGCAGCTGAACCGCGTCGCGGAGGCCGAGCCCTGGGGCGCGGCGGCGGACGACATGCTGGACGCCATCTGCAAAGTCGGGTGGTCGGAGGAGCGCGGGCACTTTCTGCGCGTGCTCAAGCTGCAGATCAGCGAGCAGACCTTCCGCGACCACGAGCTGAACGGCGTGCGCGTCTTCTCGCAGACGGAGGACAAAGGCTACGTCCGTCGGTACGCCAACATCGACAGCACCGTCGACGCGTCGCTGCTCGGCTTGAGCGTGCCGTTCAACGTCGTCCGCGCCAACGACCAGAAGATGCAGCTGACCGCCACCGAGATCCGGAAGAGGCTGACCGTTCCCGGCGTCGGCGGCCTCAAGCGGTACGAAGACGACCACTACATCGGAGGCAACCCTTGGATCGTGACCACGCTCTGGATGGGCCTTTACGATCTCCGGCTGGGCGACGTCGAGGCCTCCAAGCGGGCCCTGCAGTGGGCCATCGACCACCAGACGGATCTGGGACTGCTCCCCGAGCAGGTCGACCGGGTGACCGGCAGGACGGCGTGGGTCGTTCCCCTGACATGGTCGCACGCCATGTATATTCTGACAGTCGTCGCCTTGGACGAGCAGAAACAGATTTGACGAGAGACACACCGAAGCTTAAGAATAGATTAGTCGCCGAGATTCAGCTCAAGGATAGAGTAGGGTTTTCCCCACGACGCTCACGAGTTTTGGTCGCACCTTCACCACGGACATGAAGAGATCCAGGGGCTGGTGGAGGTTGGAATTTTTCGTCCTCGGATTTTATGCAATCGAGCAGCTCGGGCCCTTCGGAGTTGCCTGCACAAGACGCCAGCGTTTTTGTCCTCTCGTTTAGAACAAAAGCCTCGAATTGTAAACACCCTCGACTGCAACAGCTTGGAAAATTGCTCAGACCCGGGGACGCTCTTGGCTCGATGTAAGCCACATGGAGCTGGTTTGTTTGACTGACTGACAAACTGATTGACTGACTCGTCGGATGATGAACCACTTGAATTGATTGTTATCGGGAATTCACGGCGGTTGTAAGAGTAGGTCCTTGCCTTTGTTCGAAGAAGGGATCTGGGGGTGGAGCGAATCTCCCTGCACAGAACACGAGCTATTATCATGTGCAATTAGCTCCAAGAACGTTTCGCATGAAGCGGTGGCCCCTCGTCCTGCTGAGTTGTTCCAAACTGTACATGTGCTCGTTCAAATCTTGTCTCACGAAATGTGGCATCCGGTTATAACAATTCCATGATCAGTTTCGGACGTTGTTTCTGGTTTCTGGCTATGCATATGCTTGGAACGATGAATATACACGTAGGTCATCATGCCTGTGCATTTGATAGACCAGCAAATTTGGATTAAATCACGCAATATGCTTGAATATTCGGGACTCTCCATGGATGGCTCCGTTCAGAGTGGCGATAATCTCTTGTGGGCATCAGCCTGAAAGACTCAGAGAGTAATTCCTCCGAGAGTCATGAATGTATGGATTACGATGATGTCTGAAGCCCCATGATCCATAGAAGCTTGTTGCCTTTTCTTCCCCATGATTTGCTAACTCGATTCTCCCTCAATGAATTGGTCTGTCCCTCCGAAAGATGCAAACATCAGCTGCCATGGGAAGGGTTTGATTATGTTCACAAGAAATCTTCCATACATGCAGTGAACAAACTGGACAGCTCGTTCAGGCAAGCTTTGTCATGTCTCGCTTTAGATGCAAGTCGATCTCCCAACCTGAACTAATCCCCTCGGTAACTTCCTCGTAGATGTAATGGATTTGGAGGAAAGGGAATTCCGTTGAGAAGCCATTTTTCACGCTTGGGTTTCTCTCGCTGTAACATTCTTGCACCGTTCACTTTGTATACAGCACCGACAGCTCGAGACTTCGTCTTTGAGGAACTGAACTCATCACAAAGTGCTAGTGTTTATAGAACACAGTGATGTCAGTGTGAATGTGTGGAGTGTTGTTATGAGCATATGCGTACACAATGGAAGGATATGGTTCAAGAGAAACTCGAAACTCAGTCGGTGCTATTCCTGAATTCATGGACTGAAATTGGGCTCAACGAGCTCTCATCGTTTTAGAAAGTGACAACCTTTTGTCCACTTCGTCTAGAACCTTAAACGAACTCTCTTTCTCCTTCTCCTTCAATATTCCTCTGAGCCTATCAACTGGGTCGTCTGCCTTCAGCATGTCCTCCAAGCTCGAGTCGGAAATAGACAGTAACGAATTCAGTGGCCCCGATGAGTAGGCGACCCGTTTCTTCCCCTGAAAATCTAGAATGAGCTCATCGCGTTCACAATCGCACATCTTCTTCACAGCCTGCTCGACAGTTCCTGCTCCTTTCCACACACTCCTGAGGTACTTCTTTCCCATGATCTCAGCTCCCACGTCGACTATGGAGTGCAGAATCATCGCCTGCTTAGCCTCCATGTAGTTGGTGAGAATAAGATTCAGACAATCAGAACTTTGACTATCGCTTTTCCCAAAGACATTTCTACTGATTACACCCAGCCGACCTGCCTGTTCCATATCTGCAGTTTCGGAGTATTTGCGGATGATCTCTCTGGCGTAGCTTCTGAAAACTGTGTGCAGGGAGGAAATGCCCTGGAGGGTGGCGTTGGTGAGGAGAGTGTCCTCGAACAGGGTCAAGATGTACATCAGAAGAAAGGTCCTCGGGATCACTCTCTGGCGCTCTGGGACGAATTTCCTGGCCCACCTTGCGTGCAATTTCTGGAGATGCTTCGGCTTCTTCTCGGAGCCGTGGACGTAGGACACAATGGACCAGAACTTCATCTGCATGAGCACCCACCAGGCGTACTGGTGGAGCGAATTGCTCATCATCTTGCCCGCCACGATGAGGCAGATGAGCAGGCCCAGCAATCCCGTGGCGAAGAGGTAGGAATACTTCTCGGACAGAGGAGGCAGCGCCGCCATCCCCGCAGCCGAGAAGGCCATGAGCACGAACACGACCGAGGTGATGAACAGAGCCCATGTCGGAATGAGCCATCGCCGCGACCGCCTCACGGCGCTCCCGATGTCCGCCACGTCTCGGATCGGCAGCGCTGCTCCCGCCGCCACGAGCATGCTCGAGATGGCGAAGAAGAACGCCAGAGTATTGAAGATCCCGAATGTGTACACTCCCGTATCCTCGTCCACCGCCGCGTGGTTCGCGAACGAATCGGTCGAGTCGCCCGTCGTCCATCCCATCGGAGGCTGCAGCCATCCTCCGAACGTGACCGAGGCTATGAGAGTGGCTCCCACGAGGATCGTGTTCGAGGCGTCGACGTACTCCTGTCGATCCCGGTGCAGAGCGTTCTCCACCTCCTGGGTCGAAGTCTTGGCGTCCAGATCTCCGAAGAGGAATTGCACGCACGAGGTGTCTGCGCTCTCCAGGGCGATCTGCAGAGGAGATCGGTCGGCGTAGTCCGAAGTCCTCATGGCTATGGGATGGAACACGAGCGGCAGAGTGTCGACCCTCTGCCCATCCAGAGCCCAGTGCAGAGGCGTCCGTGAGAACCAATCCTGGGTGAACAAAACTGCGGCATCGGGATTGAAGTATGTTTTTCCGGGCTTCGTGCACTCTTTGAAGTCCAAGGTGAGCAGCTTGGCCACATCCTCCTTGCCTCTGATGCACGTGAGGTGGGTCGGAGTGAGAAGAAAATCATCCACCGCGTTCGCATCCACCACCTTCCAGCTCAGGAGCTGCTCGACGACTTTGGCGTAGTTGATCTTGGGTTTAGCTTTGGTGCAGTCTGACATTTGCGGCAGCACGTCCTTCTCGAAACTCAGAACTGCATAATGCAAGGGAGTCTTCAGGAAATTGTCGTACAGAATTCTGAATACCGGCACCTTCTGACTGCCGCCCCAGCTCGTGTCGGGAAGAATGGCCTTTTTGCAGGCCCCGATGAGCGTCTCGACTTGCTTCCATCCACCTTGAGCTGCTGCCAGATGGAGTGCGGTCCATCCGTTCTTTCTCGTCTTCGCAAACACAAACTCGTGGCTCACGTCCTCGAGGCCTTTGGGAAGTAATTCTTTCACTATCTTCGGGAAATTTCTAAAAACCGCGACGTGCAGAGCTGTGTATCCTGTCTCCAAGTCTCGAGTTTCCCAAACCCTCTCCTTCGACAACATCATGAGAAATTTCACAAATTCTCTGATTCCCATCCAGCACGCAATCAACACTCCCTGCTCCCATTGATCTACTGGAATCTTTCCGCACTGAAACTGCGAGGCCTGAGAAGCAATCGCATCGCGCAACAACAAGTCCAAGCATTTCTTCTCAGCCGATGCAGCAGCTGAAGCACAATCATTGAGGTAATGTTTCTTGTACGCAATCAGATACCTGAACAGCTCTGCCCAATGTGGGTCGATATCAGCGCCTGTGACGTTAGAGACTCCTCTGCTGTCAATTTTGTGAACATCTGCTCCAGATTTCTCCACCTCCGCGAAGTGAGTCCTATTTCCTACTCTACCTGGCATTTCCATGTGTGAGAAGGTGCAGTCTGTGCATTACAAGTGAATTCAGTGCATCACAATCCTGTGTATTCGATGTTTGTCTCCGAAAAATGAAGAGCCCTATGCGCATTGCACTCAGAAATCCTGCTTTGAGCTTCCAAGGAAGAGAAGCTTTTGAAGGCAAAATGGGGATAAACTAATAGGAATAATTGCTCCAAAGTACTGGGTCTGCTTGCGAAATATCTTAATCCAGCTTACTGTCATCACTTCATTGTTTCTCACGAATGACGGTTCGATGGATAAGCTATGGCAGAGGTAGTTTAATTTATCCGGGCCGTCGACGCAAGGATATTGGTAAATAATCTGCTCCAGAGAATCATTGGTTCAGGTCTTTTGTGGTGCTGTACTTCTAGCTTACGGTGATGTTTGTTGGGTGAACGTAACGAGGAGCAGACTTCTAGCTTCTACGCTTCGTGACTAGCCTTGAGAGAAATGCACTCATGTAGCTTAAATCACAGAAATCCAAATGGTTTGTTGGTCTGATCTTAACATTACTTATAATCAGGACCATTCACGTAATCTTATAACCTAGATTTTTTTTTATCTTTATCAGTATATAGCTACAGGTTCAACCTGAACCTACAATGCTTTTGACACACCTCGGATACCAAAATGCGAGTTCTTTTTACATTCTTTACATGAGTGGACAGAATAGGTGGCGGCCCACGTACCTCCATCATTACATCTGTTAGAGCAAAAGGAACTATTCGTAATTTCTAACTGGCCTTCTTTGCTGAACAAAGTCTCTTTGTCCCACCAAGCTTGACCATTGTTGAAACTAGAAGACCAGTGTCTGACCACCGCGATGTTCCAAGTAGACGAATCTTGAATACAATCAAAACGCTTTCTATTAGCCCCTGAGAAAAGCCTATATTTTGCTAGCGTAGTGTTCTACTGACCTCGAGGAATAGTGCAAGTTTGGTACTTAATTGTATTCGTAAGAAGACCCGATCAGATCTTACATGGGGTGGTATGAAGATGTTTATATAATGATCTCCTGACGTGATAACGTTTTAAATCAATTTGTGAACTCTTTACATCAATTGACACACCTCAAAGAATACAATAGAAAGATAGGAATGTCACATTGTATCCTAACACACAATTTTGTATGTGCTCAATATAGCATCCTGTCTAACACTAGCAAAATGCCCTATCAAACAAGAAAAGGCCGGCCGCTGGATAGATTAAGTTGCAACGCAAGTCCAGGTGAATCACGTGGCAAAATATCTCATTCCACTGCCAAACCGTGCCAGTCAGGGATCAACGTGCTGCATATGAGTTCTATAGGTGCATTACCACTTGGGTCCGTATTGCATGGTCACCACCAATGACTGCTTTCTGTTGAAGTACTATATGTCCACCTGGTGCATGGTGATGGGTGCATGGAAAACAAAAGTCTCGTACACCGAGGGCAGCACGTTATCAACATGTATAATAGATAAACGTGCGAATTGGAGATTTATTCTCCAGTTTTCTCTAAGTACTATCGATGTCATACCTTTGAACAATTTCCACAGACGAGTAACGAATTTCTGATAAGAAAAAATGAACACTAGGGAGTAGAATTGGTCTATAATTACTGAAGGTAAATTTTATCGGCATCGAATTTAAAAGCTTTAGAGAGACCTCGTGCAAAATCAACAAAGGGAGAATCAAAAGTACAACTTGACCACCAGCACCAAGCACGAAGCTACACAAACAAGTATTGACTCTTGTGCCGTTTGGGATTTTTTGAAGTAGAAGGCCCTCCAGAATCCAACAAGATTGTTGTGTCTTTTCTTTTTTGTGTTTTGTTTTGAGAATCTACGACGATTACACCTCATGCCTTTGTTTACCTCTGCGTGTGAGTGATCGTCGAGATTCTAGCGAAATCCTCATCAAATTGTTAAATGTACAAGATATTTCATGGAATCATGCTTTCTTATCTGATCAATAATTTTTCACAAGCCTTGTAGCACGGTAGAAGATTAATTTACTGTCTCTTAGTAATTGAGAGATATATTTTACATAGTAAGTACTGCAGAGTCTCTGACATTATTCTAGCGCACAAAAACAATAATGGCTATGTAAGATAGACGGGGATATAATTTTGGCATAAAAAACGTTATCTAAGATAATTTATCGAGGATTATTTGAGATGTAACATTATCCTAAATTGTATCTTGTATTCATTGAAAAAAGAGACCCCAATATCAATTGCAAAACCTTCAAATAGAGTGAAGAAATGAGATCAAACCAACATTTTTTTTCATAAAATAGAAATTATTTTACATCAGAGCAACAAAGTTATTAACCGAACGAAGTTTGGTATTTTTTGGGACCTAATTTCTATGATTTGACATCTCATTTGCAAAAATTTTTTGCATTTATTCACAATAATGGTTCGTAAACTACGATTTAATCTTAAATAATATTGTGATTTGAAATTGAAAAATTTAAGAAAGATTATTGGTTTTTAAATGAATCAGAGTATAATGCAAATGTCATACATCTGCATAGTTTAGCTGAACTTTCATTTTTTTTACTATAATTAGTTCGTTAAATCCTACATTATTGATACGTTCAATTAAAATATAGTTTAAATTTGGGTTTTGTTAAATTTATTCTCTAGTCGTTGTTAAATTCATCTACTCACTCATATACGCTCTAAATACCTCATGTGAGATAGTAAACTTCACCTTTTACGATCAAATGGAATGTAAATCCAGGTGAAATGTAAATAACTTCTAAGTCTACGGAGGGATGGAGATTAAAGCTTTGCAAGTTTTATTTGTTTGGGTAGCACTCTCTCTCCCTCTCCATTGAAAGCTCTCCTTTCGGTTTTACAACGAAGGGCTCCTATACGAGTGCAAGGAAGATGAGTAGAGATTCAGAGAAATACAAAAAAATCAATTTAGAGACTTTCTCAGAAGCTTTCGTCGGTACGGCAAGCACCCTGCAACTGGGGTTGAATTGAATAATCTCCTTGAATTTTCAACATTTTAAAATGTAATATTTTTACTTTAAAACATACATATTGCATTCATGAAAGAATATTTCAGACTCTAAACTGTAAGACTTTGACAATAATGATAAAAAAAGTAATATAGGTTAATTTTATATCAATTTGTGATGTATAAAGAGATTTGAGTGTTTAAAATATCTTAAGAATTTTCTTGAATAAATTTAGTTTCTTTAAGAACTTTTTTTTTAGTTTGTTTTTTGTTTAATTGGATATTTAAGTGTGGAAAGTTAAAACAGTTTTTAAAAGCATTGCATAAGCCTGAAGATTATTACATTCATAAATTGTTCTAAAGGGAGGAAGATTCTAACTGAAACATAAACCTCAAGTGACATGTTTTGAGAAACGTAACCATCGCATGTTTGTAAGCAAAAAAAAATAACAGCTTTTTATTCCTCATCAACATTAAAAAAAATAACTTGAATAACTTTTCAATGAGATATTAAAAATATTCATACTAATTACAAAGCCAAGTTTCATACTTGGCTTTATCAGTCCACTACTGTACAAAGAAAATGAGAAGTGCAAATTCATCATTTACCACCCTAACATCGGATAAGTGATAGATGTAGAAATATTAAGATTGATACATATATGGATCAATGGCTTAAAAAGACACTTATGCTATAAATCAAGCTTCATATATTCGAACTCGGGGTAATCTCCTTAATCTTCTCTGTTTCTTACAACCGACTTCTCAAGCCTCAAGAATCAGAATGACAGGCATTTATAGGGACTTCAAGCCTTGTTGACGATGTATCCTCTTGTTGTAAAAAACAAACGCTCTCTTTGATTGCAGATCCATCCCTGGTTTCTGGAGGACCAACCAAGGCAGGACAGTTCTTTGGAAGGGTAGGAATTCATCTCAGACAAGAAGACACAACTTATGCTTTGGTCGTAAGAGGATTCGTAGCTGTCATATCTGAACATTTCTCGACTGCTCACTTCTTACACATCGTGCTTCCTTACTTTGAAGTTGCGTTGAAATAGGACTGAAGTTCAATGTTTTGTTACCTGATTTTGTTCGACCATAGGCAACAAAACAAGCAGCAAGAATAAAATCCATGTATGAATGGGAAAACCTTGAAGAATACAACTCCTCATAGTGTCTACCGGAGCCCAACATTGGGTGCCCATGCCCAAACCCACCCATGCCCATGGGTTTTGGGTGACATTATTATTCCATGGGTGGGCACAAGTAATGCTAAGGGCAGTATTTGTCAAGATCCAACCAAGAACTGGAGTAATTTGCATAGCATGGGTGGGCACAGGTAATGGTATAAGTGGGCATGGGTCGCTGCTGATGGTTATGGTCTGGTATGGGTGCAGATTTGAAGTAAAATGTTGGCCTCTGGTGTCTAAGTATTCCTCTGATGCGACAGCATTTCCCTTCGTCTTTTCGTCTTCTTCGTACTTCTCAAGTCCCTTCATCCTTTTTCTCACGTATGTATTTTGGACGGCGGCTATTTACTAACCTGCCACGGCGTCGCCAAATGAAAAACTCGAGTTATTTCGACTTACCTTGTACGCAAACAAACGGAGTTAGAGTTGACTCTTACGCTTTCAAGGGTGCAAGAATCGGTTTCAATTGTCTTGAGCCGAATCGATGAGGTTGTGAATACCACATTCAACAAACCATGCCTTGCTGCCTTGGAAGTGTTTATATTTTCTATTTGCTACAGCAAATATTGCATCATATTCATGAATATTCGTTTTGAAAACCAATAAAAAAATTTGTCAAAAAGTGAAACAATTGTATTTTTGCATCGGTCTAACCATGGAAATTCAGAAAATAAAATATTTCGATATAATTAGGCGAAAGCTAAATCATTTCAACTAACTTCTTAATAGGCTGAAATAAGACAAGTGATTTTCAGACGACAGTTTATGCGGATGCGTGAAATTCAACCACTTCGAGACTTGGCTAATTTTACAGACTGATCGCAAAATTGTCGTTTGACTCTCTGGCCGAAGCATAAATGAGGTTCCACAATGTCAACATGATATAATCAAGACATCTGTGGTGTGCGTGTGTGTACTTCTTACAGCACTTTCAACAGGTAATGTACGCCCTGACAGTCG